AATATTCAGTTCAGTAAATATTTTTGTTTTTAATTTTTAAGTTTATTTATTTTGAGAGAAAGAGAAGAGTGTGAGCAGGGGAGGGGCAGAGAGAGAGGAAGAGGCTCTCCCAAGCAGGCTCCATGCTGTCAGCACAGAGACCAATGTAGGGCTCCAACTCAGAAACTGAGATCTTGACTCAGGTCGAAACCAAGAGTCAGATGCTTAACCGACTGAGCCACCCAAACACCCCATCAATTCAGTAAGTATTTTTAAACTAAAGTTCCTTAGTTTTGGAGGGGAGGAGTTAAGATGGCAGAGCAGCATGGAGACCCTGAGGTTGTCTCATCCCTGAAATGCAGCTAGATCAGCACCAGACCATTTTGAACACCTAGGAAATTGATCTGAGGATTAACGCAACAATCTGCATAACTTGAGCCACAAAACTTGGCAGGTACTCGGTACAGAGAGGTGAACTGGTGGAGAGAAAAGCCATGGAGGGTAGGGAGCCATTTTCATGGAGAGAGCACAGAAAAAAAGGGGATAGTGCAGTGCATCAGGATTGTGCAAGAAAAGCACTCTCTGAAAGTAGCTGGAGAGAAAGAGAAAGAGTGAAAACACTTGCAGGGGACTGAACAAGAAATCTGTTCTCCAAAACTACTGACAGGGTGAAAGTAGAGGGTTTTAGTACCACCAGGATTCTATTAACATTGGAGAGCAGAGTCTGAAGTTTCAGAGCTCAGTGACTGGTGGTGCTCTAGGGAGGAATTAGGGTGAATCCCCAGGAGTAGGCAGCAGGGTCTGAGGGGTCCCTGTGTCACATGGGGAGAAGTGGTTCCCCTGCTTGGAGTACATTTGGTAAAGGCCATATGGCCTCTCCTGGGCCAAGGTCCCAGTGGACCCTGGAGAGCAGCCACGTTTGCTGGTATTGGGACAAAGATACCAGAGTGCAGTAAAACCTGATGCTGGCTGTGTGTTGTGGTTTGCGATAATTTCTGAAACTCTGCTGCTGCACTATTGCATGAATGTTTTCTGAGGCAAGCCGGCACCCGGCCATTGCTCAGTGAGACCCTCCCCCAGAGGGTTGGTGTGGGTCCATGCTGCAGGGTCCTCTCAAGTGTGGAGTTTTGAAACACAACCCCATGTGAGATAAAACTCTGGAGGGAGGTGGCACCTGGAAGGCAGGCGGACAGCTTACAGGGTAGAGACAGGGGGTGGACAGAGGCCTGAGATGGAGGAGAGGTACTTGATCACGGTTGGGTGAGAGCGCAAATGTCCTGTAACAGAGAGGAGGGAGCTGGGTGAAGCCATTTCCACTTCCCCCGTGCTTGCACACATGTGCCACCCCAGTAAGGTAAGCAGCGCCACCTATTGGAGAACAGAGCCCCACCCAACTGCGCCCATCAAGCACATCCCCCAGAAGATCAGCACAAGTCACTCCACCCGCTTAATGTACAGAACGCAGAGTGCTTCATAGTTTCATTTCTAGGGGAGACTGCATATAACTTCATTCGGGTTTCATTCTGTTTGCTGGTTCATTTGTTCATTTTCTTTGCTTCTGTTTTTGCTTAAATTGTTTCCTTTTTTTTCTTTCATGGATACAGAAAGAAAATTTTTTAAAATTTTTTTACTTTGATTTTTATTTAAACAAATTTTTTATTCTATTTCATTTTATTTTATTCTATTATTTAATTTTTTTAACTTTAACATTTTTTCTTTACCTTTTTTCTGTATTCTATCAAGCTTCTTTAAGCAAGCAGAAACACACCTAGGATCTAGCTTCTTCCTTTGTTTGATTTTTTTGTTTTGTTACTAATTTTTTAATATTTTTTATTTTATTAATTTTTTCTTCCTCCAAAATGACAAAATGAAGGAATTCACCGCAACAGAAAGAACAGGAAGAAATAACAGCAAGGGACTTAACACAGATATAAATAAGATATCTGAACCAGAATTTAGAACCATGTTAAGAATACTGGCTGGGGTTGAAAAAAGCATAGAAGACAGAAAAGAATCCTTTTTTGCGGAGATAGAAGAAATAAAATCTAGTCAGGCTGAAATTAAAAATGAAAACATGACAGCCCAAAACCTCTGACATGCAGCAAAGGCAGTCATAAGAGAGAAGCATATAGCAATTCACACCTTCCTAAAGAAGGAAGAAAAGTCTCAAATACACAACCTAACCTTACACCTAAAAGAGCTGGAAAAATAACAGCAAATAAAACCCAAAGCCAGCAGAAAAAGGGAAAAAATAAAGATTAGAGAACAAGTCAATGATCTTAAAATATAAAAAACAAAACAGTAGAACAGATCAATGAAATCAGGTGATGGTTCTTTGAAAGAATTAAGAAAAGTAGAATATTCCCTAGCCAGATTGATCAAAAAGAAAAGGGAAAGGACCCAAGTAAATAAAATCACGAGTGAAAGAGGAGAGATCACAACCAACACTGCAGAAGTACAAGCAATAGTAAGAGAATATGAGGAGCAATTATATGCAAACAAATTGGGCAGTCTGGAAGAAGTGGACAAATTCCTAGAAGCATATAAACTACCAAAACCGAAACAGGAAGAAATATAAAATTTGAACAGACCCATTAACAGTAAAGAAATTGGATCACAGACCAAAAATGTCCCAATAAAGAAGAGTTCAGGGCCAGATGGCTTTCTGGGGGAATTCTACCAAACATTTATTTTTTAAAAAAAAATTTTTTTTTTCAACGTTTATTTATTTTTGGGACAGAGAGAGACAGAGCATGAACGGGGGAGGGGCAGAGAGAGAGGGAGACACAGAATCGGAAACAGGCTCCAGGCTCTGAGCCATCAGCCCAGAGCCCGACGCGGGGCTCGAACTCACGGAGTGCGAGATCGTGACCTGGCTGAAGTCGGACGCTTAACCGACTGCGCCACCCAGGCGCCCCTCTACCAAACATTTAAAGAAGAGTTAACACCTATTCTTTTGAAGCAATTCCAAAGAATAGAAATGGAAGGAAAACTTCCAGACTGATTCTGCGAGGCCAGTATTACTTTGATTTCAAAACCAAAGATCCCACTAAAAAGGAGAACTACAGGGGCACCTGGGTGGCTCAGTCAGTTGGGCATCCGACTTTGGCCCAGGTCATGATCTTGGCAGTCTGTGAGTTCAAGGCACGCATCAGACTCTGTGCTGACAGCTCAGATCTGGAGCCTGCTTCGGATTCTGTGTCTCCCTCTCTCTCTCTGTCCCTCCCCCTTTCACACTCTGTCTCTCAAAAATAAACATTAAAAAAAATAGTGTTGGGAAAACTGCTCAGTGCAGAAGAATGAACTTGGACCACTTTTCTTACACCATATACAAAAATAAACTCAAAATGGATGAAAGACCTAAACCTAAGACAGGAAGTCATCAAAATACTAAAGGAGAAAACAGGCAACAACCTCTTTGACTTCAGCCACAGCAACTTCTTACTTGATAAGTCTCCAAAGGCAAGAGAAACAAAAGCAAAAATGAACTATTGTGGCCTCATCAAGATAAAAAACTTCTGCACAGCAAAGCAAACAATCAGCAAAACTAAAAGGCATCCAGCAGAATGGGAGAAGATATTTGCAGATGACGTGTCAAATAAAGGGCTAGTATCCAAAATCTATAAAGAACTTATCAAACTCCACACCCAAAACCCAAATAATCCAGTAAAGACATGGGCAAACGACATGAATAGACACTTTCCCAAAGAAGACATCCAGATGGCTAACAGACACCTGAAAAGATGCTCAACATCACTCATCAGAGAAATATAAACGAAACCCACAATGAAATACCACCTTGCACCTGTCAGAATGGCTAAAATTAAAAACTCCTAGCAACATCAGATGTTGGTGAGGATGTGGAGATGGGAATGCAAAAACTGCTTCAGCCACTCTGGAAAACAGTATGGAGGTTCTTCAAAAAATTAAAAATAGAAATACCTTATGAGCCAGTAATTGGATTACTAGGTATTTATCCAAAGGATATAGGAGTGCTGATTTGAAGGGGCACGTGCACCCCAATGTTTATAGCAGACCTATCAACAATAGCCAAAGTATGGGAAGCCCAAATAACTATCAACTGATGAATGGATAAAGGAGATGTGGTATATATATTCCATGGAATATTACTTGGTGATCAAAATAATGAAATCTTCCCATTTACAACAATGTGGATGGAACTACAGTGTATTATGCTAAATGAAATAAATCAGAGAAAGACAGGTGATTTCAGTTATATGTGGAATTTAAGAAACCAAACAGATGACCATAGGGGAAGGGAAGCAAAAATAATATAAAAACAGAGAGGGAAACAAACCATAAGAGACTCTTAAATACAGAGAACAAACTGAGGGTTGTTGGCTGTGTGTAGGGTGGGGGGAGGAGCTAAATGGGTGATGGGCATTAAGGAGGTCACTTGTTGGGATGAGCACTGGGTGATACATGTAAGTGATGAATCACTAAATTCTACTCCTGAAACAATTTTTACAGTATATGTTAACTAACTTGGGTTTCAATTTAAAAAAATAAACACGCTTAGTTTTTATAGTCACAGAAGACAACTTGCTCTTGTGTGTTTTTTTACATATTTATGGTATGAATGAATAAAATCAGAATATATAAGTAAACCAATAAGTTACATTACCAATGAGAAATTAACAAATTAACATGTAGAAGCTTACCTTTTTATACTAAATTTTACGTAAATACATAAATGCATTTTGGTTACATTTTTATAATTCCAATCTTTTTTATGGTATGTACATATCTTGAAGAATTAAAACGTTGAAAAAATAAAGAATATTTTAGCTTTAGAACCATATTTCTCATTTTTGTCAGAATTTTTATTTTCTGAACGATGCATGGAGTTTTTGATAGCTAAAAGTATTGTACCTATTGTTTCAACATAATACATTGTTACCATATGTTGCATATGCTTTACATATGTCTAACTGACATATAATATGCAAACTTAGTTTAAAATTTTTGTATATTTCTTTTTCAGAGAATAACAGAGGATCAACATGTTGTCCAACTTGAGGAAATTTGTAGTCAGTCATAAGAAAATACCCATCCTGCACGTTAATGTAAGTTTTTCTTGTAAAATTAAATGTACTTCAGCACGTTCAGTTCCTTTACTTCCCCAAAGGCCTAGTATACTCTTAGACTAGTGTATCTTTATTTTCAACAGTTTTTCTTAACAGGGAGTGTGGGAGAAACTGTAACAAAGAAGCAGCAGACCTTATCACTAGTCTGTAAATTCATTTGGCTACTTGAAAATTCACTGTGCAGCATTTTAAAGAATATCCTTTTGTATATTCCATTTTGAAGTCATTAGTGTCCCAAAGACTTACACAGGTTTTCTTTAGTGTGTTCATTGCTGATGCTTTCAGACTACATGCCTGTGACAGGTAGCTACTCTCTTACCCAGGTCAGTATGCAGTGGAAATTTAAATATCTTTGAGTCTATACTTTTGAAATATTTCTTAGGATAACAGTGTTTTATTGACAAAAACTTGCTAACTAATGTATAAGTGATATAGAAGACAGGCATGCATTCCAAGATAGCATTAAAAGGCAGATTGTGACAACCCCAAATTATTATACTAACTAGAATAATTCCAAATGTATTAGCAGCCATTAAATGTGTATCTAGTTGTTTGGGGATAAATTGGGATGGGTAATAATCAACCTCTGTGTGGAAACACTGGGAGAAGATACTAAAGAAACTTTTAAAAAATGCCAGTCCCTAGTTCTCCCAACTACCCCCCATCTCGCCAAATGTTTTTTAAAGTTTTCCACGTGATTCTAATTTGTAACCGCTTTTATAAATCCCCAAAACAGCTAATGGTTTTAGAGTTCATGACCCCCACCAGCTCTTAGCAGCTGTAGAGGGGAATCGAGAAGTAGCCAGGGTGAGAGTCCTGATTAACTTTTCTGGCTCTCTGGAAACTTCAGGGCTGTGGTTCTCAAACTGTAGCTGTCAGAATCACCTGGAGGGCTTGTAGAAATGCAGATTGTTCAGTACACCTGAAAGTAATACAACACTGTGTTCATTATACTTCAGTTAAATAAAAATTCCCACAGATTGTTTGCCTCTGTCCCCAGAGTTTGTTATTTTCTTGTCTGGAGTAGATCTGTAGAATTTGTGTTCCTTGTGATGTTAATGCTGCAGATCTTAGAGAACCATCATCTAAGATCAGCTCAAAATAGCAAGTCAGTTTTAGTTTTATTTTTGTTCTTTCCTGTAGTATAATTTTGGGTTGTCACTTTTTAAAGGAGCTAGAGTTAATAAATTCAGACTACTTTAAGGAGATTCAAAGTATTTCATCTTCTCACAAAGCATAGTTATGATGTTAGAAATGCTAAAATAAAATTAATGTCAGGGTTCTTTTTCTCCTCACTAGAATATGTGTTGCTCTAAAATGAGAGCAAGTTTACAAAGACTAAAGTCACATGTGCCTCTTGGAAGAAACTACAGTTCTCTACCAGGTACAAAATTTGATTCTCATTTTACTGCTTGTTTGCTTTCTCTCTTATTGGCAAGCATTCCATTTTCAGAATACTGCTTCCTTTTTACTTCTTGGCTATTTCCTTAAGATTATTATGAGTTGGATGTATTCTGATAGATGCCAGGGGTAGTAGGCCTGTGCTCCTTATCTGCTCCCCATCCACATGAGCTAAACAAAGAGAAAGGTTGGTGGCTTTAGTCGCTGGCTCAAAAGTTTAGCTGGTTGTCTATTTGTAGAGTGCTCTTGCTGTAAAATACTTATTTTCTAGTCCTTTTCTGGTTTTTATGCATAAGTATTTTCTGTCATTCGAGGTTTGCCCAAATTTATTTTAAAGGTTCTTAAGAGTAGTTGGTTAAATACTTATCTGGGATAGTTTACGTTAGGTAGTATGGCTATTCAAAGCTGGTAGCCTGAGCAACTAATTCTGATGGTCTTCTGTGTTTGAAGCAACCAAGCATATGGGAGACTCATTGAAACTAGTTGCATTCTGTTGCTGTTCGAATTACCATCTTTGTCATGTGAGAGTAATGGAGTAATGATACTGATTGTGTGACTGTTAAGGGCATGTGAATTTAATGGTCTGCAGTATTGGCTTGTATCTATGTTTCTATATTTTGCTCATCAAATTTATCTGTAGCCATACAGGCCATCCTTCAGTCTTCGAACTGCTAGGTTTTCAAAATACAATAGAACTGTTCTTAATTTATTGTAGAAGTTTTGCAAAACTGATTTAAATAGGTGTAGATTAAATTTATAAATGTAACTGCATTTTTGCTTTAAAATTAATAAAATATATAATTATGGAGTAAATTATTATGGGCTTTTTGTATTTGAGAAATACTACTTGGCCTTTTAGAAGTCTTAGATTGTTATAGCTCCAATTCACTGATACTTCCCAGGCCATCGTTAAAGATATTGTATGCTTGGAAGTACTGAGGGAAGATGGGTTTCAAATTGTACAGAAATTCATCGTCATCTGATATGAGGATCACTCTTAACTCTTTAGGCCTTGACATTGCAGGTTCACAGGACTGTGCATTTTATTTTTCTTTGGTTCAGGAGCTGTTGCCTTAAGATCATTGCTATGAACATTCTTCTATATTTTTTATGTCTATTGTAGAATTGTAGAAAGTGGCAAAGATTAGGGGCACCTGGGTAGCTAAGTCGATTGACCTCAGTCAGTTGGTTCAGGTCATGATCTTGCGGTTAGTGAGTTTGAGCCCCACATCGGGCTCACTGCTGTCAGCACAGAGCCTGCTTTGATTTTCTAGCCCCCTCTCTCATACCCTCTGTCTGCCCCTCTCCTGCTTATGCTCTGTCAAAAATAAATAAACATTAAAAAAAGTGGGAAAGATTGGGGTAAATTTATATTTTTCTAAGGATGTCTTCTAGAAATTTATGTTTGAAAATTTACCTTATCATCATCCATTGCCTTTTCTTTAGAGATATAACTTTTAGGTAAAAGAAAGTTTTATTTATCTTGGATTTTACTGTACTTGGAATTACTGTATTTGCTTAAAATTATTTTAACTTCTTTGTCAATTAAAGGAAAATTTCTTAAACTTTTCAATTATAACCCTCTTTCCATTAGGTTTGATAGGAAATGATATCAAATCCCTTCATTCTGTCATCAATCCTCCCATAGCTAAGTAAGTACTATCATTGATACTGTCTGTTTCATTCACTGTGTGAAAAGGTAAAGGTTTCTGTCATGGGCTTAATTTAGCATTGTTAATTTAGCTTTCTGCCCTCGCTAACTATAAATAGATGTTGGTATATATCTTTAAAGCTATTCTTTTTTCCATTTCAGTGCTAAATATTTTTAATGTAGCAGCAGCACAATTTTCATAGAACTAAAAGTAAAATTCACAAGATTGTAGTTAGCTGTTATTTAGCTGTTTTGTCAGAATAATGTGGTAGGGATGTATTTTCTGGTTTTGTCGTTTTTATGAAATACTAACTAGCTTTGAAATTTGCATAGCATATAGAATACATATTTTGGTTTTACGGTTTTAGTAATGACCACTATGTAACACATGCTTTTTTTTTTTTTTTTT